GACCACTGTTTAGGTCTGAAAAATAGTACGTTACAATACTATTTGAGCCGAAATCCGCGTCACTAGCATTAACAGTGGTAACGTAAGTATCTTTTGGAGAGTTTTCCATCACTGTAGCTTTGTACACAGATTGGTTAAAAACAGGTGCATTATCATTGGCATCAAGAACAACGATATCTATATTTACTGTACCAGATCTCTGCGGCGATCCACCGTCTACGGCGATCAGCTTGAGAGATAGTTTAGGATTTGTCTCTCTGTCTAAAGGCTTCTGTAACACCATTTCAGCGTATTTCTTCCCATCTGCATTCGAGTTTTGTTTCAGAACAAAATTATCATTATCAGACAGAAAATATTCTCTGAGTCCATTTACACCCACATCAGGGTCTTCCGCCCTCGTCAATGTAAAATGGGCACCTGCATTAGCTATCTCACTGATTTCAAAATTGATTCTATCTCTTTGAAATGTTGGCGAGTGATCATTTATGTCTGTTATTTCAACTGTAATCTGATGTAGCTCCATAGGGTTTTCTAAAATCACCTCAAAGCTGAAACTGCACGGTGTGACGTCTCCGCAGAGCTGCTCTCGGTCTATTCTCTCATTCACGACCAGAGTCCCTTTGTCTGTCTTCAGCTCGGTGTACTGGATGTTTTCTCCGGTCACGATACGGGCCCGCCCTGAACGGAGTCTTTTCAGATCCAAACCTAGATCCTGAGCTACATTACCGATTAGGGAGCCTTTTTTCATCTCCTCTGGGATTGTATATCGGATATGTCCACCGACCATTTGGTTGAGATACAAGAAGAAAACGAGTAGCAGCCAGTTATGTCTGCAGCCAGTTCGCCATTTCACGCAAAGACTGAAGGGAAGTATTCCACAAGCCATGATCCAAGAATCACACAAATACTATCGCAGTAATCCAAGCAAACGAAATATCCTTCACAGTAGAAATTTCTTTAGAAGGTTGATTCTGGTTGGTTATCATCCGAAAAGAGATGTCAGATCATGCGAGTCTTTTCGCCTCTGTCAGCCCACATGAAGCACACTACCAATCGCTCTCTCACAGGATAGACTGGTGAGGGAGGGGACTGTTTAGTGATGCTCTGTAGCTTAAATTGGATTGACCAACAGCGTCCCTTAGAGTTCAAAATCAAGAATGCCATGTTACACAGAATCATTTCTGCAAATATTGTATGGTTGCTCTCATTTGACTGGTAAATGATACAAAAATATTTAAAATAAAATAAACCTTTTACTCCCCAAAAGACCCCTTAGAATACCAACTTATTTTATACTCATCTTAAAAAAAGACACTAGTTTGAATTTTAAGTCTAAATTCGCCACTAAATGAAAAAACATTGCATTACTCCTGACAGGTTTTAAGAAAAAATAAAATACTCCAAATATCTTGTATCTTTTAACAAGGAAACAACTACACAAAAAAGAAAAGGGTATGGTGAAACTATATTAGTTGAAAGAAAATTGTTAAAGTCAGTTGCTAAAATTATATACATGTTTTCAACAATCACCAGTTGATTTCCATGAAGTCACTCGAATGTCACCAACACTGTGCAAAACGTATGACAAAATAACTAAGTAGAAGGTACCCATAGAAATTCACAGAATACGACGCTGTCCAAGGTGCTGAAAATAAAGGAAGAACGTCACCTACGAAAAGATTTATATCGGCACATAGGATAAATAACATCAGTAAACTAACCTCTAGAGGAGAATCTGGTTCATCCAGGATGCTCTTCTCACTCTGTATCCTCTGCATGGTCCCTGTAGAACTGGGGTCCATTATCAGCACGTTCTGACTACCAGCTCTGCCGAACTTACAGTCACTCTTTCTGGAGTCAGTCGTCCTGCACACCTCGTAATTGTACACGTGCTGGAGAGTCCCTGTGCCCAAAGTGTCTGAGTAACGTGGTGGATAATATGGAATCACAGGGAGGTTGGAGTGAAACAGGGTGCGAGACTGTCTCCATCTGTAGATTTTCACTGATATAATAACCACCACACACGTGATGAAGAGGAAGGACACTACAGCCAAAGCCAGCACTAAGTAAAAAGTCAGGTTGTCATTGTACTCCTTGTCGTGTGTAAAGTCAGTGAACTCAGACAGCACTTCAGGGAAGCTGTCCGCCACCGCCACGTTAACAATGACTGCAGCTGAACGAGACGGCTGCCCGTTGTCCTCCACTATAACAGTCAGTCTTTGTTTCACAGCATCTTTATCATTCACTTGGCGGATAGTTCTGATTTCTCCATTCTGTAAGCCCACTTCAAACAGCGCCCTGTCTGTGGCTTTCTGCAGTTTATACGAGAGCCAGGCATTCTGTCCAGAGTCCACATCAACAGCCACCACTTTAGTCACCAGGTAGCCCACATCTGCTGCACGAGGCACCATCTCAGCCACCACTGATCCACCAGTCTGGACTGGGTACAGGACCTGAGGGGGGTTGTCGTTCTGGTCCTGGATAATCATTTTCACTGTCACGTTGCTACTGAGTGGAGGGGAGCCTCCATCCTGCGCTTTGACCACGAAAATCAGTTCTTTCAGCTGCTCATAATCAAATGAACGCACTGCGTGCACTACTCCGCTTTCTGCATTAACTGAGACAAAACCAGAAACTGGAGATCCACCGATATTAGTGTCTTCCAGAATATAAGATATTCTGGCGTTTTGGTTTTCATCAGGATCTCTGGCCCTTAGTGTGATAACAGACACACCTGGAGAGTTATTCTCTGTGATAAACGCATTATAAACACCTTGTGGAAACACTGGTGCATTATCGTTCACATCAGAGACCTTCAAATGAAAGGTTCTCTTTGACGAGAGAGGAGGCATTCCTGCATCTGTTACAACTACAGTGATGTTATACTCTGAAACACTTTCACGATCTAATACAGTATCTGTGACTTAAAGTGTAATAATTTCTTAAATTGGATTTAATCTTAAAAGGTGCATTTTCTTCAATTCTACAGTTCACTTGTCCGTTATCACCTGAATCAAGATCTTTAACATTTATGATCCCAATAGTTGTTCCAGGAGGAGAGTCCTCTGACACAGGACTAGTGAATGACATCACGCTAACAGCAGGGACGTTGTCATTTATATCACTAACTTCAATTATTACTTTGCTTGAATCAATCAATCCTCCCTGATCCTTTGCCTCGATTCTAATTTCGTATTTTTTTTCTTTTTCGAAATCAATTGAACCTGTAACTAAAATTACACCTGTTTTTCCATCAACTGTGAACATATTACTGAAACCACTGTTTAGGTCTGAAAAATAATAAGTTACAATACTATTTGAGCCGTAATCAGCGTCACTAGCATTAACAGTGGTAACGTAAGTGTCTTTTGGAGAGTTTTCCATCACTGTAGCTTTGTACACAGATTGGTTAAAAACAGGTGCATTATCATTGGCATCAAGAACAACGATATCTATATTAACTGTACCAGATCTCTGCGGTGATCCACCGTCTACGGCGATCAGCTTGAGAGATAGTTTAGGATTTGTCTCTCTGTCTAAAGGCTTCTGTAACACCATTTCAGCGTATTTGTTTCCATCTGCATTCGAGTTTTGTTTCAGAACAAAATTATCATTATCAGACAGAAAATATTCTCTGAGTCCATTTACACCCACATCAGGGTCTTCTGCACTAGTCAATGGAAAACGGGGCACCTACATTAGCTGATTCACTGATTTCAAAATTAATTTTATCTCTTTTAAACGTTGGCGAGTGATCATTTATGTCTGTTATTTCAACTGTAATCTGATGTAGCTCCATAGGGTTTTCTAAAATCACCTCAAAGCTGAAACTGCACGGTGTGACGTCTCCGCAGAGCTGCTCTCGGTCTATTCTCTCATTCACAACCAGAGTCCCTTTGTCTGTCTTCAGCTCGGTGTACTGGATGTTTTCTCCGGTCACGATACGGGCCCGCCCTGAACGGAGCCTTTTCAGATCCAAACCTAGATCCTGAGCTACATTACCGATTAGGGAGCCTTTCTTCATCTCCTCCGGGATTGTATATCGGATATGTCCACCGACCATTTGGTTGAGATACAAGAAGAAAACGAGCAGCAGCCAGTTTTGTCCGCAGCCAGTTCGCCATTTTACGCAAAGACTGAAGGGAAGTATTCCACAAGCCATGATCCAAGAATCACACAAATACTATCGCAGTAATCCAAGCACAGGATTTATCCTTCACAGTAGAACACTCTAAAGAGGTTGATTCTTGTTTGTTATCATACGGAAAGAGATGTCAGATCATGCGAGTCTTGTCGCCTCTGTCAGCCCACATGAAGCACACTACCAATCGCTCTCTCACAGGATAGACTGGTGAGGGAGGGGACTGTTTAGTGATGCTCTGTAGCTTAAATTGGATTGACCAACAGCGTCCCTTAGAGTTCAAAATCAAGAACGCCATGTAACACAGAATGATTTCTGAAAATATACGTGGTTGCTCTCATTTGACTGATAAATCATATACATACTGTAAAAGAAAATTAAATATTCTTCTAAAAAAACATTGAATACAAATTATTTAACTCATCTAAAAAAGACAAGATTTTGGAAACAACGTCTAAATTGGTCAAAAAGTGAAAAAAATTACATTTCTCATTACAGGTTTTAACAAATAATAAAATACCCCAAATCTTCTATCTTTAAACACGGTAAAACTAGAAAAAAAAAAAAAACTTAGTTGGTGAAACTATAGATGCTGAATGAGAATTGTTAAAGTCTGTTGCTAAAATAATATACATGTTTTCAAAATCACCAGTTGATTTCCATGAAGTCACTCTGAAACTCACCAACACTGAACAACGTTAACAAAATAACTAAGTAGAAGTACCCATATAAATTACGCAGAATACGACGCTGTCCAAGGTGCTGAATACAAAAGAAAAACGTCACCACAAATATATTTAAACACGGAAAGATACAAAGAGGCACAGAGGATGAATTATTTCAGTAAACTAACCTCTAGAGGAGAATCTGGTTCATCCAGGATGCTCTTCTCACTCTGTATCCTCTGCATGGTCCCTGTAGAACTGGGGTCCATTATCAGCACGTTCTGACTACCAGCTCTGCCGAACTTACAGTCACTCTTTCTGGAGTCAGTCGTCCTGCACACCTCGTAATTGTACACGTGCTGGAGAGTCCCTGTGCCCAAAGTGTCTGAGTAACGTGGTGGATAATATGGAATCACAGGGAGGTTGGAGTGAACAGGGTGCGAGACTGTCTCCATCTGTAGATTTTCACTGATATAATAACCACCACACACGTGATGAAGAGGAAGGACACTACAGCCAAAGCCAGCACTAAGTAAAAAGTCAGGTTGTCATTGTACTCCTTGTCGTGTGTAAAGTCAGTGAACTCAGACAGCACTTCAGGGAAGCTGTCCGCCACCGCCACGTTAACAATGACTGCAGCTGAACGAGACGGCTGCCCGTTGTCCTCCACTATAACAGTCAGTCTTTGTTTCACAGCATCTTTATCATTCACTTGGCGGATAGTTCTGATTTCTCCATTCTGTAAGCCCACTTCAAACAGCGCCCTGTCTGTGGCTTTCTGCAGTTTATACGAGAGCCAGGCATTCTGTCCAGAGTCCACATCAACAGCCACCACTTTAGTCACCAGGTAGCCCACATCTGCTGCACGAGGCACCATCTCAGCCACCACTGATCCACCAGTCTGGACTGGGTACAGGACCTGAGGGGGTTGTCGTTCTGGTCCTGGATCACCATTTTCACTGTCACGTTGCTACTGAGTGGAGGGGAGCCTCCATCCTGCGCTTTGACCACAAAACCATTCTTTCAGCTGCTCATAATCAAATGAACGCACTGCGTGCACTACTCCGCTTTCTGCATTAACTGAGACAAAACCAGAAACTGGAGATCCACCGATATTAGTGTCTTCCAGAATATAAGATATTCTGGCGTTTTGGTTTTCATCGGGATCTCTGGCCCTTAGTGTGATAACAGACACACCTGGAGAGTTATTCTCTGTGATAAACGCATTATAAACACCTTGTGGAAACACTGGTGCATTATCGTTCACATCAGAGACCTTCAAATGAAAGGTTCTCTTTGACGAGAGAGGAGGCATACCTGCATCTGTCGCAACTACAGTGATGTTATACTCTGAAACACTTTCACGATCTAATACAGTATCTGTGACCAAAGTGTAATAATTTCTTAAATTGGATTTAATCTTAAAAGGTGCATTTTCTTCAATTCTACAGTTCACTTGTCCGTTATCACCTGAATCAAGATCTTTAACATTTATGATCCCAATAGTTGTTCCAGGAGGAGAGTCCTCTGACACAGGACTAGTGAATGACATCACGCTAACAGCGGGGGTGTTGTCATTCACATCACTAACTTCAATTATCACTTTGCAAGAATCCGTCAATCCTCCCTGATCTTTGCCTCGAGTCTGAGCTCAATTTTTTTGTCCTTTTCATAATCAATTGAACCTTAATAAATTACACCTGTTTTTCCATCAACTGTGAACATATCACTGAGACCACTGCTTAGGTCTGAAAAATAGTACGTTACAATACTATTTGAGCCAAAATCTGCGTCACTAGCATTGAGTGGTAACGTAAGTTCTTTTGGAGAGTTTTCCATCACTGTAGCTTTGTACACAGATTGGTTAAAAACAGGTGCATTATCATTGACATCAAGAACAACGATATCTATATTTACTGTACCAGATCTCTGCGGCGATCCACCGTCTACGGCGATCAGCTTGAGAGATAGTTTAGGATTTGTCTCTCTGTCTAAAGGCTTCTGTAACACCATTTCAGCGTATTTTTCCATCTGCATTCGAGTTTTGTTTCAGAACAAAATTATCATTATCAGACAGAAAATATTCTCTGAGTCCATTTACACCCACATCAGGGTCTTCTGCCTCGTCAATGAAAAACGAGCACCTACATTAGCTATTCACTGATTTCAAAATTAATTTTATCTCTTTTAAACGTTGGCGAGTGATCATTTATGTCTGTTATTTCAACTGTAATCTGATGTAGCTCCATAGGGTTTTCTAAAATCACCTCAAAGCTGAAACTGCACGGTGTGACGTCTCCGCAGAGCTGCTCTCGGTCTATTCTCTCATTCACGACCAGAGTCCCTTTGTCTGTCTTCAGCTCGGTGTACTGGATGTTTTCTCCGGTCACGATACGGGCCCGCCCTGAACGGAGTCTTTTCAGATCCAAACCTAGATCCTGAGCTACATTACCGATTAGGGAGCCTTTCTTCATCTCCTCCGGGATTGCATATCGGATATGTCCACCGACCATTTGGTTGAGATACAAGAAGAAAACGAGCAGCAGCCAGTTTTGTCTGCAGCCAGTTCGCCATTTCACGCAAAGACTGAAGGGAAGTATTCCACAAGCCATGATCCAAGAATCACACAAATACTATCGCAGCAATCCAATCACACGAAATATCCTTCACAGTAGAACAATCTTCAGAAGGATGATTCTGGTTGGTTATCATCCGAACACAGATGTCAGATCATGCGAGTCTTTTCGCCTCTGTCAGCCCACATGAAGCACACTACCAATCGCTCTCTCACAGGATAGATTGGTGAGGGAGGGGACTGTTTAGTGATGCTCTGTAGCTTAAATTGGATTGACCAACAGCGTCCCTTAGAGTTCAAAATCAAGAATGCCATGTAACACAGAATCATTTCAGCAAATATTACATGGTTGCGCTCATTTGACTGATAAATGATACAAATAATTTATAAGAAAATTCACATTCTATTTCTCAAAAATAACCTTTGTAATAGTAATTCATTTCAGATGTTATTATTGATGTTAAGTCTAAATTGGTCACTAAGTGGAAAAAAACAAAACAATGCGATGCTCGTGACATTTTCTCAAATATAACGAAGTACCGAGAAAGAACGAAAGAAATGTTACAGTTAAACTATAAGTGGAAGGAGAAATTGAGAAAATTAGATACAACAATTATATGCAAATTAGTTTTCAAGAATCACAAGTTGATTTCAATGATGTCACCAACAATATGAAAACGTGTAAAAAAAAAACCCAAAGAAATCAGTAAGTACCCCGTATAAGTTACGCAGAATACGACGCTGTCCAAGGTGCTGAATACAAAGGAAGAACGTCACCGACCAATATATTTAAACACGGAAAGATACAAAGAGGCACAGAGGATAACTTATTTGAATAAACTAACCTCTAGAGGAGAATCTGGTTCATCCAGGATGCTCTTCTCACTCTGTATCCGCTGCATGGTCCCTGTAGAACTGGGGTCCATTATCAGCACGTTCTGACTACCAGCTCTGCCGAACTTACAGTCACTCTTTCTGGAGTCAGTCGTCCTGCACACCTCGTAATTGTACACGTGCTGGAGAGTCCCTGTGCCCAAAGTGTCTGAGTAACGTGGTGGATAATATGGAATCACAGGGAGGTTGGAGTGAAACAGGGTGCGCGACTGTCTCCATCTGTAGATTTTCACTGATATAATAACCACTACACACGTGATGAAGAGGAAAGACACTACAGCCAAAGCCAGCACTAAGTAAAAAGTCAGGTTGTCATTGTACTCCTTGTCGTGTGTAAAGTCAGTGAACTCAGACAGCACTTCAGGGAAGCTGTCCGCCACCGCCACGTTAACAATGACTGCAGCTGAACGAGACGGCTGCCCGTTGTCCTCCACTATAACAGTCAGTCTTTGTTTCACAGCATCTTTATCATTCACTTGACGGATAGTTCTGATTTCTCCATTCTGTAAGCCCACTTCAAACAGCGCCCTGTCTGTGGCTTTCTGCAGTTTATACGAGAGCCAGGCATTCTGTCCAGAGTCCACATCAACAGCCACCACTTTAGTCACCAGATAGCCCACATCTGCTGCACGAGGCACCATCTCAGCCACCACTGATCCACCAGTCTGGACTGGGTACAGGACCTGAGGGGGGTTGTCGTTCTGGTCCTGGATCACTATTTTCACTGTCACGTTGCTACTGAGTGGTGGGGAGCCTCCATCCTGCGCGTTGACTACCAGCTGAAGCTGTTTGATCTGCTCATAATCAAAAGAACGAACAGCGCTAATAATGCCAGTGTCAGAGTTTAAGGACACGTAAGTGGAGACTGGGAAACCACCAACTTGTGTGTTTTCTAAGATATATGAAATTCTCGCATTTTGGTTCGAGTCAGAGTCCAGTGCGTTAACAGTGATTATTGAAATCCCTGGTGAATTATTTTCTGTAATGACAGCATTGTATATTAAGTTATCAAATAAGGGGGGGTTGTCATTAATGTCAGAAAGAATAAGGTGCAACTTTATGGCACTGGAGAGAGGCGGGGACCCTGAGTCTGTGGCGGTTATGGTAATGTTGTATTCTGGCGTTTTTTCACGGTCAAAAGCTGAATCTGAAACGAGTGAGTAGTAATTACTCAAGGATGATATAATTTTAAATGGTAAACTCTTATCTACTGTACACATTATCTGTCCGTTGCTCTCTGAGTCCGCGTCTTTAGCATTAAACACTGCGACAGTCGACCCAAAAGGAGCATCCTCAGACAGAGGACTAGTAAAAGACATGACGTTAATCACCGGTGCATTATCATTAACATCGACAATATCAATTATTACTTTACTAAGATCGGTCAACCCTCCTTGATCTTTTGCTTCAACTCTTATTTCATGTTTTTTGTCCTTTTCAAAATCTATTTGTCCAGAAACCGTTATTGTACCAGTGGTCTTGTCAATTTTAAATTTATCAGCCAAATTTCCCTTTAAATTAGAAAATGCGTAACTCACCTCCCCGTTTGATCCACTGTCAGCATCTGTGGCATTTACGGTTATTACGTGAGAGCCTGATTTTGAATTTTCTAAGACAGTAGCTCTGTACACCGTCTGGTTGAATACGGGAGGGTTATCGTTTGCATCTAACACAGTAATATCAATATTTACTGTACCAGATCTATGTGGTGTTCCACCATCAACAGCTATCAGCTTAAATGAGAGGCGAGGTTGCTCCTCTCTGTCTAAAGGTTTCTGCAGGATAATTTCTGCAAATTTACTGCCGTCTGGGTTGGCATGCTGTTTCAGCACAAAATTGTCGCTTGTGCTTAAAACATAATCTTGAAGTCCATTTACTCCTACATCTGGGTCATCCGCACTTTCCAACACGAAGCGAGAGCCCACAACAGCAGATTCGCTTATTTCCATCCGTATGTTGTTATTTCGGAACACAGGCGAATGGTCATTAACATCCAGTATTTCGACAATGATACGATGCAACTCGATTGGATTTTCCAAAATAATCTCGAAGCTGAAGCTGCACGGTGTCACGTCCCCACAAAGCTGTTCTCTGTCGATTCTGTCATTCACAACTAGAGTCCCTTTGTCTGTCTTCAGCTCGATGTACTGGGTGTTTTCTCCCGTCACGATACGGGCCCGGCCAGAACGGAGCCTTTTCAGATCCAAGCCGAGGTCTTGTGCCATGTTACCGATCAAAGAACCTTTCTTCATCTCCTCTGGTATTGAATAACGAATTTGGCAATTTACCGCTGAACTGAAGAAGAGCAAATAAGTGACTATCCATCTTGGCCACAGCGAGACTGACAGAAAACGCCATTTAAAACGTTGCAGTACAGCGTGAGTAGCCATGTCTGACTGAAAAACAAAAACGCTTTTCAAAAAAATAATCCTTAGAGAAATCACAAACCGTGAAAATGAATGTAAAAACGGTCGAAAATCAGTGCAGATGATCTATACGGTCGCTGTGTATACCACCGTCTATCTACCACAAGAACAAGACTCTCCTCTAAATCGAGACGATGAGGGAGGCAGTGCTCGGACCAACTCTGTAATTTTTTTTGTGAGCAACAGCGTCCCTCAGAGGAAATATATAAATAGTATTCAAGGCTACTTACAAAAGGATTCGGTATTTATCAAAGAACAGACATGAAAACTAAGCACTCCTTGAGTGCCTGAATGCAATTCACAATGCAAGTCGTATTCGTCTTCCTACCCTATACCCGTATGCCATGCGTATAATAAGAGGTGCCTATACATAGATAATAGCGTTATCAGTAAGTAAAAAAAAATAATAATAATAATAAAAAAATCTGGATGCTTGCACGGAAAGGATGAAAACACATCTTGAGGGGACTGACATTGAACATTAAGGGTTTCGTTGAAGTGATGTCCAAACGGTAGGTGCTATAATGTTCCAGGCGGGAAGACACTGATTAAAAAAATACTAGAAAAGAAACGTGAGAGAAGAAATTGAGAATTTAAGAAAGTTCTTTCATAAAAGTGACAGCTATTGATTATTATCCTCTTAGATAAGTCTGCCTTTCAAATCGGTATAAACGCAAACAATTACATTCCCAGTCACGCGTTTTGGTAAAGTAACAGCTAAATAACACAATGTGTACGGCATTACATGACAGGAAGGACCTGCAGAGGTGCAACAACGCAACACAGAAAACAAAAACAAAAAAAACGTCATCCTACACCTCCCGTTAGCAACGCAAGACATCCTGCATCATAAAGGACGTATCTCACCTTGGACAAAACCTGTTTGAAACGCTGTCATCAGGAGAGCGCTGCAGATCCGTCAAAGCAGGCACCAAGAGACTTGAGAACATTTGTATCCAATAGCCAGCACCATAATGAACACAGGCTTTAAAGTCATAAAAGACACGTTGTAAAACACTGTCCCTTTGAATTTATTTCCCTTTGAATCACAAGTGAATGTGTGTGTATGTGTGTATGTGTGTATGTGTGTGTGTATGTATGTATGTATGTATGTAATGTTCATCTTAACACTATAACAGGGAAAAAGATATTTTGGAAACTGAGAAGCTGTCCAAGGTGCTGAAATGACATGTTAGACAAGACTTAGGTTCACCCACGCTATAAATAGCAGTTTCAAAATCAAATTGATCTATCCCTCAACAACTAATTCACAGTATTGTGCTCTCCGTGGTGCTGAAAAATACGCAAAAGCGTACTTTACAAATGAATTGCGATACATAACGAATATTGGAGGTACAGACATGAAGTTAATATGGTTTACCGACCTCTAGAGGAGAGTCTGGTTCATCCAGGATGCTCTTCTCACTCTGTATCCTCTGCATGGTCCCTGTAGAACTGGGGTCCATTATCAACACGTTCTGACTACCAGCTCTGCCGAACTTACAGTCACTCTTTCTGGAGTCAGTCGTCCTGCACACCTCGTAATTGTACACGTGCTGGAGAGTCCCTGTGCCCAAAGTGTCTGAGTAACGTGGTGGATAATATGGAATCACAGGGAGGTTGGAGTGATACAGGGTGCGAGACTGTCTCCATCTGTAGATTTTCACTGATATAATAACCACCACACACGTGATGAAGAGGAAGGATACTACAGCCAAAGCCAGCACTAAGTAAAAAGTCAGGTTGTCATTGTACTCCTTGTCGTGTGTAAAGTCAGTGAACTCAGACAGCACTTCAGGGAAGCTGTCCGCCACCGCCACGTTAACAATGACTGCAGCTGAACGAGACGGCTGCCCGTTGTCCTCCACTATAACAGTCAGTCTTTGTTTCACAGCATCTTTATCATTCACTTGACGGATAGTTCTGATTTCTCCATTCTGTAAGCCCACTTCAAACAGCGCCCTGTCTGTGGCTTTCTGCAGTTTATACGAGAGCCAGGCATTTTGTCCAGAGTCCACATCAACAGCCACCACTTTAGTCACCAGATAGCCCACATCTGCTGCACGAGGCACCATCTCAGCCACCACTGATCCACCAGTCTGGACTGGGTACAGGACCTGAGGGGGGTTATCGTTCTGGTCCTGGATCACTATTTTCACTGTCACGTTGCTACTGAGTGGAGGGGAGCCTCCATCCTGCGCTTTGACTACCAGCTGAAGCTGTTTGATCTGCTCATAATCAAAAGAACGAACTGCACTAAGGACTCCAGTTTCAGAGTTTAAAGACACATAAGAAGAGATTGGACTACCACTGACTTGTGTGTCCTCCAGAAGATACGAGATTCTCGCATTTTGATTCCAATCTTTGTCTCGCGCACTGACAGCAAATACAGAAATGCCAGGGGAATTGTTTTCTGTGACGTAAGCAGAGTAGATGGCTTTATCAAATACCGGTGCGTTGTCATTTACGTCAGAAATTTTAAGGTGTAATTTTGTTGAACTGGAAAGAGGGGGGGAACCGAAATCAGAGGCGGTTATTGTGATGTTATATTCCGAAACGGATTCTCTGTCAAAATATTGATCAGAAATCAAATTGTAATAGTTTGTTATCGATGTTTCGATCTTAAAGGGAAGTTTGCCATCAAGAGAACATTTAATTTGCCCATTTTTATCGGAGTCTGCATCTTTAATGTTTAAAATAGCAATCGTTGTTCCGGGAGGAGCATCCTCAGATAAAGGGCTGGAAAACGACATAATGTTTATCACCGGGGCATTGTCGTTGACGTCGAACACATCGAATATAACTTTACTCGTTCCAATTAGCCCACCCTGATCCTTTGCCTCCACCCTCACCTCGTACTTTTTTTCCTTTTCATAGTCTATTAGACCATTGACGGATATCGTGCCTGTCTTTTCATCAATACTAAATATATCTGCTGCACTTCCCTTTGTCTTAGATAAACTGTAACTAATGAGTCCATTTGAACCACTGTCAGCGTCTGTGGCATTTACTGTAATAATTCTTGAGCCTTTCATTGTGTTTTCCATCACAGATGCTTTATAGACAGATTGATTAAAAATCGGAGCATTGTCATTTGCATCTAAGACAGTGACATCTATATTTACTGTACCGGATCTCTGTGGTGTTCCTCCGTCAACTGCGATCAATTTTAAAGACAAATGTGGATGTCGCTCTCGGTCTAAAGGCTTCTGAAGCACCATTTCAACATATTTACTTCCGTCTGGATTTGCATGTTGCTTCAATATAAAATTGTCGTTTGGTGATAAAACGTAATCCTGCAAAGCGTTTTGTCCCACATCTAGATCCTCTGCACTCTGCAATGGAAATTTAACTCCGACTGCAGCTGATTCACTCATTTCAAAGCTGATAGACTTATCGGTGTTGGGGAATACAGGGGCGTGATCATTTATATCCAAAACCTCGACAGTAATTCTGTGTAATTCCATGGGGTTCTCTAAAATCACCTCAAAGCTGAAGCTACATGGCGTCGTGTCTCCACAGAGCTGCTCTCGGTCTATTCTCTCATTCACGACCAGAGTCCCTTTGTCTGTCTTCAGCTCGGTGTACTGGATGTTTTCTCCACTCACGATACGGGCCCGCCCTGAACGGAGCCTTTTCAGATCCAAACCAAGATCCTGAGCTACATTACCGATTAGAGAGCCTTTCTTCAACTCCTCTGGTACTGAATAACGAATCTGACCATCAACCATGTTAGCGACATGCAGCAGGAATATCAGCATTTGTATACACCGTCGCAGTCCTGGAAAATCTCGACATCTTGCCCATTTGTTGGCGAGAGATCCTCGAGTTGCCATCATGGCAACAGAGAATAGAAAAAAGGGTTTCAATGGAAACGACGGAGAAGCTGTTTTTATGAATCCGAGTCCTGGTGAAATATAAACACGCGTTCAACAATTAAATGCAGGTCTTTTAATCCACGCTCTCTCGTGCGTCCATTGAACCTCGACAAAACACAGAAAGCCTTCTGCAAAATGTAGTCAGTCGGGGGACGGACTGAATGACGACACAACACAGAAAAGGTTTTGCTGACCAACAGCGTCCCTTTGAGTCGAAATTGTGAACATCAAGTGAAGCCCCAAGACCACAGTAGACCTAAACACGACGACACAGTGATGGAATTATTACTTACTTAATGCAGGTTCATTTCAAGATAAAACGAGTAAATTAGGGCAAGTTTTAAAAGAGTATATCTCCGTGAGCTTTAACAAAATTATATTCAACATTTTCCTGATGTATCTGCAGTTCTGCAGCCATATAACAACACATTTGCTTAGTTTGTGTAATAGAGTGTTTGGACTTGTATGGATATAAAGCTGTCTGTTATATACAGTTGATAATAATATGAATGGAGGGTTTCTATTGCATACAAGATGCACTGCCATTGCAGTAGCCGAAATGACGATATGGTCCAATTTGTCTCCAGGGGAAGAGTTAGGTGTCAAAGTTGTAGTTTTAATAGTGGCGTATTATAAACAAAACTGACATTGTGACATATTTCTTTTATCAGTGTCACTGACCATGTTCAATATTTCTGATTCACAATGCTTAAAAACAAAATAAATAATTATTTAAGCTCCGTGTGCACTATAGGTGTGAATGATCATCAAGTACACAGGTTTAGATTCAAATTATATACTTTATAAAATGTTTGACGAAATTTAAGTTGTGTTTTTCCTACTCAGTGTAACTGCATGTATACATGAAACTATATTAATTAATACTTGTTTTATTAACGATACATTAAAAAACACACTTCTTTTGTTATTCAGTTATATGCGTTTTTACTTTCATTTAAAACTCATATATACATTAAATTGAAATGCACAATTCATTTTTTAATAAATCACTTGCATTGATTCTCTCTTGCTTTACCCATACGTTTTGCAAAAATAGTAAGAGCAATCTGGCAATAGGGTTTATAGAAATCTGATTTATTTGATCTTTTAACTGTTACATCAAAAAACTATGCCCTCACCTGATAGACTGACAGATAACTTGTTAAAATATACAATAAATTAACGACATTAATATTGTTTGCGTATTATCAATAAATTGATTGAATAATAAAATTAAGAATTACAAATTCGTAAGGGATATAATCCGGAAGATATCCCAGAAAACAAATCCACGTTTGAATCTCGTATGAGTTTGGAGGTCAAAAAAATTCCTTTCAAGGCATACAATCTTATGGAGGGGCTGTCCATGGTGCTGAAAGTGACATCGAAAAATTTAACCACTTGCCATTTAAAGGAAGAAAGAACGAAAACAAAGCATGAAAAGACAAACTGTTTAACTAACCTCTAGAGGAGAATCTGGTTCATCCAGGATGCTCTTCTCACTCTGTATCCGCTGCATGGTCCCTGTAGAACTGGGGTCCATTATCAGCACGTTCTGACTACCAGCTCTGCCGAACTTACAGTCACTCTTTCTGGAGTCAGTCGTCCTGCACACCTCGTAATTGTACACGTGCTGGAGAGTCCCTGTGCCCAAAGTGTCTGAGTAACGTGGTGGATAATATGGAATCACAGGGAGGTTGGAGTGAAACAGGGTGCGAGACTGTCTCCATCTGTAGATTTTCACTGATATAATAACCACTACACACGTGATGAAGAGGAAGGACACTACAGCCAAAGCCAGCACTAAGTAAAAAGTCAGGTTGTCATTGTACTCCTTGTCGTGTGTAAAGTCAGTGAACTCAGACAGCACTTCAGGGAAGCTGTCCGCCACCGCCACGTTAACAATGACTGCAGCTGAACGAGACGGCTGCCCGTTGTCCTCCACTATAACAGTCAGTCTTTGTTTCACAGCATCTTTATCATTCACTTGACGGATAGTTCTGATTTCTCCATTCTGTAAGCCCACTTCAAACAGCGCCCTGTCTGTGGCTTTCTGCAGTTTATACGAGAGCCAGGCATTCTGTCCAGAGTCCACATCAACAGCCACCACTTTAGTAACCAGGTAGCCCACATCTGCTGCACGAGGCACCATCTCAGCCACCACGGAGCCACCAGTCTGGACTGGGTACAGGACTTGAGGGGGGTTGTCGTTCTGGTCCTGGATCACTATTTTCACTGTCACGTTGCTACTGAGTGGAGGGGAGCCTCCATCCTGCGCTTTGACTACCAGCTGAAGCTGTTTGATCTGCTCATAATCAAAAGAACGAATTGCACTAAGGACTCCAGTTTCAGAGTTTAAAGACACATAAGAAGAGATTGGACTACCACTGACTTGTGTGTCCTCCAGAAGATACGAGATTCTCGCATTTTGATTCCAATCTTTGTCTCGCGCACTGACAGCAAATACAGAAATGCCAGGGGAATTGTTTTCTGTGACGTAAGCAGAGTAGATGGCTTCATCAAATGATGGTGCGTTGTCATTTACGTCAGAAATTTTAAGGTGTAATTTTGTTGAACTGGAAAGAGGGGGGGAACCGAAATCAGAGGCGGTTATTGTGATGTTATATTCCGAAACGGATTCTCTGTCAAAATATTGATCAGAAATCAAATTGTAATAGTTTGTTATCGATGTTTCGATCTTAAAGGGAAGTTTGCCATCAAGAGAACATTTAATTTGCCCATTTTTATCGGAGTCTGCATCTTTAATGTTTAAAATAGCAATCGTTGTTCCGGGAGGAGCATCCTCAGATAAAGGGCTAGAAAACGACATAATGTTTATCACCGGGGCATTGTCGTTGACGTCGAACACATCGAATATAACTTTACTTGAACCGGTAAGCCCACCCTGATCCTTTGCCTCCACCCTCACCTCGTACTTTCGGTGTCTTTCGTAATCTATCAGACCAGACACAAAAATTGTGCCGGTCTTTTCATCAATACTAAATATATCTGCTGCACTTCCCTTTGTCTTAGATAAACTGTAACTAATGAGTCCATTTGAACCACTGTCAGCGTCTGTGGCATTTACTGTAATTATTCTTGAGCCTTTCATTGTGTTTTCCATCACAGATGCTTTATAGACAGATTGATTAAAAATCGGAGCATTGTCATTGACATCTAAGACAGTGACATCTATATTTACTGTACCGGATCTCTGTGGTGTTCCTCCGTCAACTGCGATCAATTTTAAAGACAAATGTGGATGTCGCTCTCGGTCTAAAGGCTTCTGAAGCACCATTTCAACATATTTACTTCCGTCTGGATTTGCATGTTGCTTTAAAATAAAATTGTCGTTTGGTGATAAAACGTAATCCTGCAAAGCGTTTTGTCCCACATCTAGATCCTCTGCACTCTGCAATGGAAACTGTACTCCCACTACAGCGGATTCACTTATTTCCAGGCGGAAAGGCTTATCAATATTCGTGAATACCGGGGCGTGATCATTTATATCCAAAACCTCGACAGTAATTCTGTGTAATTCCATGGGGTTCTCTAAAATCACCTCAAAGCTGAAGCTACATGGCGTCGTGTCTCCGCAGAGCTGCTCTCGGTCTATTCTCTCATTCACGACCAGAGTCCCTTTGTCTGTCTTCAGCTCGGTGTACTGGATGTTTTCTCCACTCACGATACGGGCCCGCCCTGAACGGAGCCTTTTCAGATCCAAACCAAGATCCTGAGCTACATTACCGATTAGGGAGCCTTTCTTCATCTCCTCTGGTACTGAATAACGAATTTGACCATCAACCATGTTTGCAACATGCAGCAGGAATATCAGCATTTGTATACACCGTCGCAGTCCTGGAAAATCCCGACATCTTGCCCATTTTTTGGCGAGAGATCCTCGAGTTGCCATCATGGCAACAGAGAATAGAAAAAAGGGTTTCAATGAAAACGACGGAGAAGCTGTTTTTATGAATCCGAGTACTCGTGAAATAAAAACACGCGTTCAACCATTAAAAGCAGGTCTTTAACGCCACGCTCTCTCGTGCGTCCATTGAACCTCGACAAAACACAGAAAGCCTTCTGCAAAATGTAGTCAGTTGGGGGACGGACTGAATGACGACACAACACAGAAAAGGTTTTGTTAACCAACAGCGTCCCTCTGAGTCCAAATTGTGAACATCAAGTGAAGTCAAGACCACAGTACTTACACCAAGACACAGTGACAGAATAACCACGTACCTAATTGTCTATTTATGTACTCTCAGGTCAATGTTTAAAGATAAAACTTGTTTCACTTTACAAATTTTAACAGGTCATATTGTGAACTAACTATCGACTTCAAACTTCGAAGCAAATGATTTCCAGTAAAAGAAAGAAAAAACATAGTTTGCCAAACATTTTTATAAAACTATGATCCAACTGAATGAATACAATGGCCTTTTAAAACAAAACGAAAGTCACTATGTGCACTAAAAAATGATCTTCCACATTCTCCTGATGTATCTGCAGTTCTGCAGCCATAAAACAACACCTATTTGATTAGTCTGTGTAACAGAGTATTGGGACTTGTACAGATATCAAGCTATCTGTTATGTAGATTTGATAATAATATGAATGGAGGGTTTATATTTTATACAAGACACAAAGCAATTGAGATTAAAAGGCTTTAACTTGAAACTGTTGTTATTAAGAGAAATATGAAGGCGTGAAAGTGGGGGCAACAGGTATGTTTTTGTTAATGATTTATATCAGCGTATTATCAACACTGACTAAGTGCAATATTTGTATCAGTGTCAGGGACCTTGTGCAATATTTCAAATTCATTAAGCTTAAAAACAAGAGAAATATTACTTCAACGTCCGCGTGCACAAACACTAAGTATGATTATCAGGTAAACAAAATCTTATACTCATATAGAATCATGTATAGAAAAGGTGGCAAGCACAGAAATCATATCCACACTGGAATCTGATATGTGTTTGGAAGACGAAGAATTCCTTTCAAGGCAAAATATATTACTGAGGTGCTGTCCATGGTGCTGAAAGTGACATTGAAAAATGAAACCGTTTGCCATTAAAGGGAAGACAGAACGAAAACACAGCAGGAAAAGTCAAACTGATTAACTAACCTCCAGAGGAGAGTCTGGTTCATCCAGGATGCTCTTCTCACTCTGTATCCGCTGCATGGTCCCTGTAGAACTGGGGTCCATTATCAGCACGTTCTGACTACCAGCTCTGCCAAACTTACAGTCACTCTTTCTGGAGTCAGTCGTCCTGCACACCTCGTAATTGTACACGTGTTGGAGAGTCCCTGTGCCCAAAGTGTCTGAGTAACGTGGTGGATAATATGGAATCACAGGGAGGTTGGAGTGATACAGGGTGCGAGACTGTCTCCATCTGTAGATTTTCACTGATATAATAACCACTACACACGTGATGAAGAGGAAGGACACTACAGCCAAAGCCAGCACTAAGTAAAAAGTCAGGTTGTCATTGTACTCCTTGTCGTGTGTAAAGTCAGTGAACTCAGACAGCACTTCAGGGAAGCTGTCCGCCACCGCCACGTTAACAATGACTGCAGCTGAACGAGACGGCTGCCCGTTGTCCTCCACTATAACAGTCAGTCTTTGTTTCACAGCATCTTTATCATTCACTTGACGGATAGTTCTGATTTCTCCATTCTGTAAGCCCACTTCAAACAGCGCCCTGTCTGTGGCTTTCTGCAGTTTATACGAGAGCCAGGCATTCTGTCCAGAGTCCACATCAACAGCCACCACTTTAGTCACCAGGTAGCCCACATCTGCTGCACGAGGCACCATCTCAGCCACCACTGACCCACCAGTCTGAACTGGGTACAGGACCTGAGGAGGGTTGTCGTTCTGGTCCTGGATCACTATTTTCACTGTCACGTTGCTACTGAGTGGAGGGGAGCCTCCATCCTGCGCTTTGACTACCAGCTGAAGCTGTTTGATCTGCTCATAATCAAAAGAACGAACTGCACTAAGGACTCCAGTTTCAGAGTTTAAAGACACATAAGAAGAGATTGGACTACCACTGACTTGTGTGTCCTCCAGAAGATACGAGATTCTCGCATTTTGATTCCAATCTTTGTCTCGCGCACTGACAGCAAATACAGAAATGCCAGGGGAATTGTTTTCTGTGACGTAAGCAGAGTAGATGGCTTTATCAAATACCGGTGCATTGTCGTTTATGTCAGAAATTTTAAGGTGTAATTTTGTTGAGCTGGAAAGAGGGGGGGAACCGAAATCAGAGGCGGTTATTGTGATGTTATATTCCGAAACGGATTCTCTGTCAAAATATTGATCAGAAATCAAATTGTAATAGTTTGTTATAGATGTTTCGATTTTAAAGGGAAGTTTGTCATCAATAGAACATTTAATTTGCCCATTTTTATCGGAGTCTGCATCTTTAATGTTTAAAATAGCAATCGTTGTTCCGGGAGGAGCATCCTCAGATAAAGGGCTGGAAAACGACATAATGTTTATCACCGGGGCATTGTCGTTGACGTCGAACACATCGAATATAACTTTACTCGTTCCAATTAGGCCACCCTGATCCTTTGCCTCCACCCTCACCTCGTACTTTTTTTCCTTTTCATAGTCTATTAGACCATTGACGGATATCGTGCCTGTCTTTTCATCAATACTAAATATATCTGCTGCACTTCCCTTTGTCTTAGATAAACTGTAACTAATGAGTCCATTTGAACCACTGTCAGCGTCTGTGGCATTTACTGTAATTATTCTTGAGCCTTTCATTGTGTTTTCCATCACAGATGCTTTATAGACAGATTGATTAAAAACCGGAATATTGTCATTTGCATCTAAGACAGTGACATCTATATTTACTGTACCGGATCTCTGTGGTGTTCCTCCGTCAACTGCGATCAATTTTAAGGACAAATGTGGATGTCGCTCTCGGTCTAAAGGCTTCTGAAGCACCATTTCAACATATTTACTTCCGTCTGGATTTGCATGTTGCTTCAATATAAAATTGTCGTTTGGTGATAATATGTAATCTTGTAACCCGTTTTGTCCCACATCTAGATCCTCTGCAGTCTGCAATGGAAATTTAACACCTACCGCGGCTAATTCACTTATATCAAAACTGATAGACTTATCGGTGTTGGGGAATACGGGAGCGTGATCATTTATATCCAAAACCTCGACAGTAATTCTGTGTAATTCCATGGGGTTCTCTAAAATCACCTCAAAGCTGAAGCTACATGGCGTCGTGTCTCCACAGAGCTGCTCTCGGTCTATTCTCTCATTCACGACCAGAGTCCCTTTGTCTGTCTTCAGCTCGGTGTACTGGATGTTTTCTCCACTCACGATACGGGCCCGCCCTGAACGGAGCCTTTTCAGATCCAAACCAAGATCCTGAGCTACATTACCGATTAGGGAGCCTTTCTTCATCTCCTCTGGTACTGAATAACGAATTTGACCATCAACCATGTTTGCAACATGCAGCAGGAATATCAGCATTTGTATACACCGTCGCAGTCCTGGAAAATCCCGACATCTTGCCCATTTTTTGGCGAGAGATCCTCGAGTTGCCATCATGGCAACAAAGAATAGAAAAAAGGGTTTCAATGGAAACGACGGAGAAGCTGTTTTTAAGAATCCGTGTACTCGTGAAATAAAAACACGCGTTCAACCATTAAAAGCAGGTCTTTAACGCCACGCTCTCTCGTGCGTCCATTGAACCTCGACAAAACACAGAAAGCCTTCTGCAAAATGTAGTCAGTCGGGGGACGGACTGAATGACGACACAACACAGAAAAGGTTTTGTTAACCAACAGCGTCCCTCTGAGTCCAAATTGTGAACATCAAGTGAAGTCAAGACCACAGTACTTACACCAAGACACAGTGACAGAATTATCACGTTCCCAATTGTCTATTTATGTACTTTCAGGTCAATGTTTAAAGATAAAACTTGTTCTACTTTACAAACTTTAACAGGTCATATTGTGAACTAACTATTGACTTCAAACTTCGAAGCAAATGATTTCAAGTAAAAGAAAGAAAAAACATAGTTTGCCAAACGTTTTTATAAAACTATAATCCAACTGAATGAATACAATGGCCTTTTAATCTCAATTGCTTTGTGTCTTGTATTCAATATAAACCCTCCATTCATATTATTATCAAATCTACATAACAGATAGCTTGATATCTATACAAGTCCCGATACTCTGTTACACAGACTAATCAAATAGGTGTTGTTTTATGGCTGCAGAACTGCAGATAAATCAGGAGAATGTGGATCATCATTTTTTAGTGCACATAGTGACTTTCGTTTTGTTTTAAAAGGCTTTAACTTGAAACTGTTGTTATTAAGAGAACTGTGAAGGAGTGAAAGTGGGGGCAACAGGTATGTTTTTGTTAATAATTTATAGCAGCGTATTATCAACACTGACTAAGTGCAATATTTGTATCAGTGTCAGGGACCTTGTGCAATATTTCAAATTCATTAAACTTAAAAACAAGAGAAAAATTACTTCAACGTCCGCGTGCACAAACACTAAGTATGATTATCAGGTAAACAAAATCTTATACTCATATAGAATCATGTATAGAAAAGGTGGCAAGCACAGAAATCATATCCACACTGGAATCTGATATGTGTTTGGAAGACGAAGAATTCCTTTCAAGGCAAAATATATTACTGAGGTGCTGTCCATGGTGCTGAAAGTGACATTGAAAAATGAAACCGTTTGCCATTAAAGGGAAGACAGAACGAAAACACAGCAGGAAAAGTCAAACTGATTAACTAACCTCCAGAGGAGAGTCTGGTTCGTCCAGGATGCTCTTCTCACTCTGTATCCGCTGCATGGTCCCTGTAGAACTGGGGTCCATTATCAGCACGTTCTGACTACCAGCTCCGCCGAACTTACAGTCACTCTTTCTGGAGTCAGTCGTCCTGCACACCTCGTAATTGTACACGTGCTGGAGAGTCCCTGTGCCCAAAGTGTCTGAGTAACGTGGTGGATAATATGGAATCACAGGGAGGTTGGAGTGATACAGGGTGCGAGACTGTCTCCATCTGTAGATTTTCACTGATATAATAACCACTACACACGTGATGAAGAGGAAGGATACTACAGCCAAAGCCAGCACTAAGTAAAAAGTCAGGTTGTCATTGTACTCCTTGTCGTGTGTAAAGTCAGTGAACTCAGACAGCACTTCAGGGAAGCTGTCCGCCACCGCCACGTTAACAATGACTGCAGCTGAACGAGACGGCTGCCCGTTGTCCTCCACTATAACAGTCAGTCTTTGTTTCACAGCATCTTTATCATTCACTTGACGGATAGTTCTGATTTCTCCATTCTGTAAGCCCACTTCAAACAGCGCCCTGTCTGTGGCTTTCTGCAGTTTATACGAGAGCCAGGCATTCTGTCCAGAGTCCACATCAACAGCCACCACTTTAGTCACCAGGTAGCCCACATCTGCAGCACGAGGCACCATCTCAGCCACCACTGATCCACCAGTCTGGACTGGGTACAGGACCTGAGGGGGGTTGTCGTTCTGGTCCCGGACACGCACAATAACTGTTGTGTTACTACTTAATGGTGGTGAGCCTCCATCCTGTGCTTTGACTCGTATTTTGTACTCTTTGACTTGTTCATAGTCAAGTGAACGCAGTGACTGAATGACTCCACTCTCCGTGTTGATTGAGAAAAATTCGGAGACAGGATGTCCATTGACCTCGCCATCAATAAGAAAATATGATATGCGTGCATTTTGACCTTGATCGGGATCAGTGGCATGGATCTGTACCAAAGCGACACCAGGAGAATTGTTTTCCATTACCTGAGTGTTGTAAACACGTTGGCTGAAAGCTGGGGCGTTGTCATTAATATCAGTAACATCTAAAACGACAGCTTTTGTGCTTGATAAGGCAGGCGACCCTTCATCTGTGGCAGTGAGGGTGATGTTGTACTTGGATAGCTTTTCTCGGTCGAGATTTTGCTCTGTAACCAATGTGTAATAGTTCCGAAGAGATGATTTGATTTTGAACGGGAGCCCTTCATCTATATTTAAATGAATTTGCCCATTTTTACCAGAATCTTTATCTTGGACACTGATTAACGCCACGACAGTTCCGGGTGTAGAATCCTCGGAAATCTTACCAGAAAATGAAGCCATTATAATTAGTGGACTGTTATCATTCACATCAATTAGCTCTATCATTAATTTGCTGGCGCCCACTAAACCCCACGGGTCTTTGGCTTGAATGTTTATTTCATAATTTGAAGAAACTTCGTAATCGATTTCACCGGTGAGCGTAACCTCTCCCGTGTAAGGATTTATTGTGAATGGACACGATGAATCCTCCTCTAAATGAGTGAAAGAATACGTGACGTTACCATTGAAACCTTGGTCCGCATCTACGGCACTGACTATAGCAACAACCGTGCCCCTGGAAACATTTTCAGAGACTGATGATTTGTATACTGACTGTGTAAAAACAGGTGCGTTGTCGTTTGCGTCCAGAACAGAAACGTGTATCTTTACCGTCCCAGACCTCTGCGGCTCCCCCCCATCAACAGCAGTCAGTATGAGCCTGTGTTCGCTCTGTTTCTCGCGGTCTAAACCATGCTCGAGCACCAATTCTGCAAATTTACTGCCATCTGCTCGAGTTTGTTGTTTGAGAATGAAATGATCACTAGTCTTTAATGAGTAACTTTGCAGGGAGTTTATTCCTACATCAGGATCAGCTGCGCTATCAAGCAGGAATACAGTACCCGTGGGCGTCGATTCGCTGATTTCCAGATGTATTTCTTTTTTGGGAAATGCGGGAGCATGGTCGTTTACATCTTGGATTTCGACGGTAATAGAAAACAATTCAAGAGGATCTTCGAGGACAATTTCTAGACTAAAGCTACAGGGCGACTTCTTGGCGCATATCTTTTCCCTGTCAATTCTCTCATTGACAACGATATGGCCTTTGTTCTGGTTCAGCGTCACATACTGAATTTCATTATCTATGACAAGTCGAGCCCGACCAGACACCAACCTTTTAACATCCAAGCCGAGGTCTTTAGCAACGTCTCCGACAAACAGTCCTTTCCTCATCTCCTCTGGTATAGAATAACGAATTTGTCCACTGATCGCAGTCACAACGCAGAAAAGCAAAATGGAGACTCGCAAATCCAGTGAGGTGCCCTTCATCTTCAAAAAATAAATTTCTTCCCATCAATAGCAGAACATTTCAGTTATCCGTATAGAAAGAAATACATCGTGTCTCGATCACAATCTGGAGCCTTTACTTGATCATCCTCAGTATAACCTATAAAATACCACCAGTTTAGCAAGTGTATGCACAAAGACGGGCGGTGACTTGTGATAAGTCTGGTATTAGACGAATAGGCTGCTTAGGCAACAGCACCACCAACAGTGGCAAACTGAAACAACAGCATCGTTGGTGGTATGTGTGGACTTGTATCAGACATCCAAATTACCTTTTTCAAAATAGAAATCCAGCGAACAGGGAATTTTCACCACGGGTTAAATAGATCAATATATCATCAACGCAAGTGGGAAAAGTTAAGCAAAAAAAAAAAAAAAAATAGAGAGGGAGGTAGAGATAGATGTAGAGATAGATAGATAGATAGATAGATAGATAGATAGATAGATAGATAGATAGATAGATAGATCTGAGAATCTGGGTGATAAATCAAGTGACCTGTATTTATGCAGTTTAGTTAATATTCACTCATTTGCAAACATGAATGAATACTGGTAAGTTTCACAGCAGTGTGAGTACAATTCTTTCTAATGTAACTGCAGCATGCTGTCTGCTCAGGTAGGTTTTTCTTTTTAAATAATTGGGTCACGACAGCGCCTCCCACCGATGGCAGACAATATTAGCCTACACTGCCGCAGAGCACAGCATTCTGCACACCATGATTGTGCATTATTCAGGAAACGACTCTACAGCAGCAGCCAGGGCTATTAATATTCATATGGTCTAAAGCCCTGGGTAGAATCACACAGCACACACAAATAAGGGCAACGCAGCTGCCTGTGTCATAAGACTGCAAGTTAAGATTTCAGTCTTGCAAGGCTGTGCTTTTTAAATTGGCATTTGTGATGATATACACTTTACAAATATTGCTAAAAACATTTTGTAAGATGAAACAAAGAGATAGAGGAAAAGTCCACGGTAGAGAAATAAAACAAGCTCATATGGGTCAACTCATATTGATGGTGGGTGTTGAACATGGTGTTAATTGGAGTGTAAGTTGTTTACAGAGTTGAGAGTATTGCACAGTGAGAGAGAAAGGGAAATGAAAATACTCTTACCTGCTGGATGATAGAAGTTCAGGAGTGTACCGAGAAAAGAAGAGAGCAAAAACAAAAAAAAAACAATTAGTGTGAATCCTTAAATAAAACACACAAGTATCACATCCTGTCACATACTTTACATTGACAAGCATCACATACATATCCACAGTGATTTATCAGAATAATATAATGGATTGATTTTGTGACAAATCACTTTAAGTACTGGGTGCTGAACAAAAAACATCCAAAGATAGAAAAAGTCACACACTAGAAGCAAAATAAGTTCACGCAAACAAGATGTCACACAGGAATTTCAAGGGGCTGCTTTAGCCAAGATACATATTCAAACTGTGTTGCATTCATGTCTTTGAAGTAATGTATATTGCATTATGTTTGTATGAATGGCTGCTAGTTGTTTGTTGGAAACTTTGTAATCCTTGCTTCTGCCAGTTTTAGCCAGAATACTTTTGAAAAAAATAACAAGCATTTTAATGAAGACAAGCATTTCCTGGTTGAATAAAGCTTAAATAAAATAGAAACTTTACATATAACCTGACTCTTGATTCAAGTTAATACCTTTCATGAAGCATTGTATTTATTGAGTTTCCAAAACTACTGCTTTGCTATTTTGTATATTTGAAAAAAAAATAGCGTAATAAAAAAATGAAAAAGCTGTTTGTATCCAATATTAACTGAATCATGACTTGGATGATGACATATTTTCAAGCTCAACAAAGTGTCATGAAAATAACCTGATTTCTGCATAATGAAGGGAGGAATTGTTCCTGTCACTAATTGATATACAGAAGGATCGCATGACTGCGTAGCCACCTCCTGGATTATGTATAATGAGTCAGCAATTATCCATCATTTCATCCGCTAGATAAAGTTTATTTAACAGATTCAATCTCAGTTTAAAAAAAAACATACATCTGTAAAACCTATATTATCTAAAACAGCCATGCTCTTATTAAACTGACATTCTTTTAAATCTTTCTATAATATTGTCATCCACACTGCAGTGTTCTTGTGACCCAGATAAGAAAGGATACAAAATGAGCACTGCTTGTTTCTCCCCCTCCCTTCCCTCCTTCAACGGCTGAAATTAGGAGCACAGATGAGCCTGCAGCTGTAACACGAACAGGAGCACACATGAATTCACAGAGGAATTCGTTTGATGACAAAACCTCTCTGCTTCACCACTATGACACATTCAGTGGTAGGCAGTAAAGTGCACACACAGACACGATTATGATTTGTACGATTAAAAAAACAAAAAACATACACAACAGTTGCTGTTGTATAAGGCTAAAATCTAACCCATATTCAGCTTCCAACTACAGTGCTTTTTACATTCTTACTTGTAGCATACATTCATACTGCTGCTTTTTCTACAGGCCATTACTGTATTGTGTCTGAATATGCATGTGTCTTGGCGCTAGAGTTGAATTGTGAGTAAATCTCAACAAATCCTTATGGTTCATGAGAAAGAAAAAAAATATGCCTTTGAAATATCTACATGCCATGAAGCCTTCCCCACTGTTGACTGATTCAATGCATATGTCCTTTCTGCATGTAAATATTGTGTTTTAAAAAAACATATTGAATTTTAGGATTGACTGGTGCGCAAAAGAGTGCTTCAGTCTGACTTTATTATTACGTGGGACACTGTATCTGAGGTTTGATGGTAATTTCATTCAGATTCACTGTTTGGAGCGTGATCGCGGTCAGCTATCTTTTACATTAGCTGGAGAATAATGGTGAAAACTACAACATTCTGTAATAAGCTACGAAGATGGTTTGATATTAAATTTCCACAAATTGTAATCATAACATTGCACTGTCCTCATTTGAGGCAAAGAAGAAGGAAGAGGGTCTAAATGTTGATTTGAGTTTTACATTCCAGGATATTGCAAATACTTGCTGGACCGACCTGAATTCACACAAGTCTTTGTGAAGTTGAATATAATTATTACCATCAGTAGGAGTTTCTGTAGTGAAGTGCATGAGTGAAGGGCATATTGAAGCCCAAAGCATACTGAAGAGTAAAACACAATCTTATTTTTAAGTTTATTTTTTTATCAACATACAAGTATAGTCTGTTTACAGTTTGTTGAGTTCCATTCATATAGTGCAAAGCTTTTTGTAGGTCTCTGTCACACAACAAATCATAATTTGTGAGAACAAATTATACCATATCAAACTTAACTGTATTGTATTGTGATTAAAAAGTAATAGTTTTGTTTATATTGTTTTACACCTAAACATAAACACAGGCAAAGCCAAACTCCACTGACAAAGCAAAAGATTAAAAGTGATGACCATCTTTTTTCTGTATGGCTCTCAGAAGATAAAAATATACAGTGATAGAAAGGTCGACCATGCACTTAAAATGCAGGAAATCATTACAGTATATGTTTTACAATTTAATCCAATACTTATCTTTTAACTTAAAATAAAGAGCAAATAAATACTCTATATATGAACTTAGACATTTGTAGACCATAAATAACAGGATATGGGAAAGTTGAGACCAAGTCACCCTGAAAATATACAAACTATAATAGCGAGGGGGGAGGGGGGTGGCAACAAACAAGTCAAAGAAAAGAAGAATAGAACAGATGAAGATACAACTGGCCACTAAAGATCACCAATGAAAGGGATCACAAACAAAACAGATAAGGATTCTTTATTTATTCTACTGTGATACTAAAAACATATTGGATGGACAGTCCAATGGGTTAAGATTGCCATATGCTCAAGATCAAGTTATGGGGTAGAAATGTTGAGGTTAAACCCAGAGGGCTTAACTAAACACGTTGGTTCACTCACAACATTTTCATGCATGAATACTTTTGTATTCAATTGTTCACCATTTAGGCAAAGAAGACCACAATATGTATTTCTTTGAAAATTCAATGTAACCATGTATATATTAGACAGTCAAAGGGCCCAAATTTAAAACATAAAACAGGGATTATTTAACAACATATTTACAAAATGTATTGTTGGACTCTCATGTGACAACGTAACATGGATGTGGCCCACCTGACCTCACCTTCAGACTAGCTCTATCTGTACTAGTGCGCCTTAGGGTGTTTTTCTGATAGGCTGCACTTCTTTGTTTCAGTGTGTCTGTGTCTGTGTTTGAGCTGAAACGAAAATCCCCCCTCCAAGACCCAGTGGTCAGAAAGGGGTCATAACGATCATCTTTCAGTAGGGTCCCACAATGGCTAAAATCGGCAAAACTAGGGGGGCAGTAGGCTGTAGGGAAAACGGGGAGACTGGCAGTGGTTGAACGGTAAACATAACTCTGCCGACAGAGCTTAAAATAAAACACACCAGTAATTAAAAGTATGAGAAGAGAGGAAACAGCAATCAGGGCGATGATCAAATAGAGAGTCAAGTTATCACTGTCCTGTGATTCATCTGCAAACTCAAAGAGTTCGTTTAAAACAGGCAGCCCATCACCAATGACTATGCTCACTGTAGCTGTGGCAGAGAGAGATTCAGGCCCGTTATCTGTCACTAAAACCACAACAGATTGTTTTGATTCATCGTCCTCCATGAATGCTCGCACAGTTCGGATTTCTCCTGAATGCAGGCCGACCATAAACAGGTTAGGCTGCGTTGCTTTGATTATTCTGTAGGAAAGCCATGCGTTGTGGCCGGAGTCCGAGTCCACAGCTACAACCTTAGTAACCAGGTAACCTCTTGGCGCTTCAACTGGCACCATATCTTCAGCAATGAATCCGGAAGTTTGGACAGGGTACAGGACAACCGGTGTATTGTCATTTTGGTCTTGATAAAAACGTTTACAGTGCAGGTAGTGGAGAGAGGGGGGCTTCCTCCATCTTGAGCTGTCACCTTAATTTGGAAGTAAACTGTTTGTTCATAGTCAAAGAGGCGTGAAGTGAAGAGCTCCCCTGTTGCTGAGTTGATGGTAAGGAAGGAGGACACATCTGAGCTTGTGTCCCTTGATATTTGGTACAGAGTTTTAGCATTGGGTCCATCATCAATATCTTCTGCTTTCACTTTCATCACAAACGTGCCAACAGGTTGGTTTTCCAAGAGGTTGGCATTGTACTCACTATGTAAAAGTCGGGGGATTGTCATTGACATCAGTAACCACAATTGTTAAAACTTTTACAGTGGAGAGTGAAGGAGAGCCCGCATCTGTGGCTGTCACTGTGATGTTATACTCTGGTTGAAACTCCCTATCTAACAACCCGTCAGTCACTAACATGTAATAGTTTTTGACCTCTGATACAATCTTAAATGGGACATCATCTGCAATTGTACACGTGACGTGCCCACTGCTCCCAGTGTCCATGTCATAAACATTCATCAGAGCGACCATAGTTCCTGGTCTAGAGTCTTCAGCCACTTTAGCAGAGGCTGATTTAATCTCTATCACAGGTTTGTTGTCGTTTACATCAATTATGTCAATGATAAGTTTACAGTGAGAGGCTTGCCCCCCTCCATCTTTGGCCTGAACATCCAGCTCGTGCGTACTGGCCTCTTCAAAGTCAATGGGACCTGCCACACGGACCTCTCCACTCATTGGGTTGATTTCAATAACACCTCCTATCTTGTCTGATAGGTGACTGAAAGAATAAGTTATCTCTCCATAGACACCTTCATCCAAGTCCGTGGCATTCAGTGTTGATATAAGAGTCCCTATGGGCGAGTTCTCAGGCACATAGGCTTTGTAAACTCGCTGACTAAAAACTGGGACATTGTCATTTGCGTCCAAAACACGGACATGAATAGAAGCAGTTCCTGATCTGACTGGATTCCCCCCGTCAATCCCATTGATTTCCAATACATGTTCAGCTTGTGCCTCTCGGTCTAATGGCTTTTTGAGAACAAGTTCCAGATAAGCATTGCCGTTTATTTGAGTACTCATTTCCAGTGCAAAGTGATCATTCGGGCTCAGTTTGTATTCACGGATAGAGTTGGTTCCCAGATCGGGGTCATGTGCGCTCTCCAGTGGAAAACGCCTCCCCAGCACAGTTGATTCGACTAAATCTAGTGTTATCTCCCCTGCAGGGAACACTGGGCTGTTGTCATTTATATCTGCAATGTCCAACACTAAGCTGAATGCTTTAAGGGGATCTTCGAGTAAAAGCTGATACTGTAGGATGCAGACACTGGCTTGCGCGCAGAGCTCCTCTCGGTCTATCCGTTGGCTGATCAAAAGATTGCCTGACGCAGCGTCCAGTTCGCACAGCTGGCTCGTTCCCTCTGCAACAACACGGGCCCGACGAGCGTTAAGCTCCGACACTTTAAGCCCTAGATCCCTCGCAACATTGCCGATCACCGAGCCCCGCTGCATCTCCTCGGGAAGGACGTAACGCACTTCTCCAGATGAAACGCCAAAAAGTAGGGCAAGAAATAAAAAATGCAGCCACCATTTTAAGTTTTTTCGATGGTCCATGTTTAAACATGCTTCCGAAGGCAAATCTCCTGTCGACATTTTTGCTCAATCCTCATCAGAAAAATATCGAACTGAAAATGCTGCTGTATTCCAACGAATCCGTGCTTCTCTGGCTGAATTAATCATGCTCTATTAGGGAAGCTGTCAGCTTGGATTCCTCTATCTCTGTTTCACTCCTGCTCTCTCTCTCTCTCTCTCTCTGACTCACTCACAGTTGCGCGTCTGCACACACACACACTTTTTTTCTCTCTCTCTCTCCTTCTCTCCCTTATAAATACCCACACTCATACACAAACACGCATGCGTACACAGCTCTCGTCTCTAACCCAATACTCCAGTTCCACTGACACAGATAAAGAGAGGCAAAACGTAGCATCCATGAGTCAGATATTGTAAAAGAGCGTCACCAAGAGACTGAGAGGATAACTACAACAGACCAGTGAGAAAAATGCTTTACATGTGCTGCCATTCTTTCTATCAACCTTCACTTTGACCTACATTTGATAAGTCTACATTTTTCTTTTTAACCTAACACTATTAAAGATGAGAACTCAGGCTGTAAGAAACAGAGGAGGGACACATCAAAAACATCACCTGGAAAATGCAATACAACCATAACGTTTACGTTTTCAGCATCAAGTACACGTACACGCACACGCACACGCACACACACACGTACACGTACACGCACACGTACACGCACACGCACACGCACACACTTACTTGATATTCTCAGAGATGTGTTGATTAATTCTTGAGACACATTTAATTTTTCAGACTATATGTGGTGCCCTTTTTTGTTGAACACATAATGGGGTAAGATTGATAGGAGCAGGCTTGAAAATATAATCTTATACATAATATCAGTGGTGCCAAACACCCCCAACCAAAACTGTAAACAATTGCAGACACCTTTAACCATGTGCATAACCCTGTGCCAAAGTGTGCTATACAGCAAAACCACTAACACAAAAACATTTTCGTTCCAAACACTATCATGCTCACAGACTGCAAAATCAAGAATGTGAGGTTGAATTATGGAAACCCTATAAGAAAAAATACAATAAACCCTGAAGGGTCTTAAACTGTATACTCAACATATAAAACAATCACTATATGTACATAAAATGAAAACTCTGACGTAAGAATAGTGAGGCGGAGCAGTGATTCCCTGTTTACATGTGTTTAAATTAAAGTCAACTATTGTTAAGCTCCACATGTGGAAAGAATCTGTAACTGAAGTATAAAGAAGTAAGTTGTTTTCAGAAAATATTGAGTGTTTATGTAATTGTTTTTTTTTTTTCTTTATTTTTTTGCATGGAACTTTAACAAGGTCCCACAAGATAAAAAACAACAAATGAATTTTGAGCGAAAGGGGCATGTGAAATTTGCATAACTAAATGTTCTTTGATCAATATTTGTATTGGCCTTAGTTAACACCTTATGATTATGATAAAAAATGGATGTCTATCAGGGATGTGCATCTATCACAAATGTTCAGTGCCAATATAGGAGCGCCCATTTCAAATCTTAACAGATTCAAATAATAAATAATTGTCTGCCTTGTGTTTACTACTAATTACTGTAAAGAAAGATGTTTTTTAAAGAACCTGACAAATAAACCTATGTACAACTAAAAACTTTCCAAATGGTCCTCTGATTTCTACATGAGTAAATGATATAATGTTTTATAATCTTAAAATAAGGGTGGTGTCCGTTTTATTTACTTCTTCTTTTTTTAAATACAGCATTTCTTCATCAAATCTGATCCTCTTCTTGGATTTGAGCTATTATATGGTATATTAAGCAATAGTATGATCTACTACTATTGTAAAAAGACTTAAATAATAAACCAAACATAATTGTCCTTTACTGTAAAGGGTGATATCAAACTTAAATAAAAGCCTAATCTCAAATGATATAAAGCAGCAATGTTTTGAATTTAAATGAAACAGAAAAAAACATACATGTAATTGAAAAGAATAAATATCATATCGACTCCTCAGGGAAAAAAAACATGAAAAGGAAACAGAGGTAACAACAGAAAAGGGGGGAAAAGGGCATGTTAAGAAATAAGGGGGCAATAGAATTTCAGTGTTCAGTAACAAATACCGAGAATTATAATCCACAAAATGAAGATTTGTGAAGAAATTGAAGACATTTTACCAGGAGGCGAAAAAAAGAAAAATTCCTACTTCATGAGAATCATCACAATCTACAAAAGCATCAGGAAAGACTTAAACTTTTTCTCACTGACTGGTCAGGGTTACTTTAAAAAAAAATAAAAAAAATAGCAAAGCTCATTCATAATCTGAATGAAAACATGACAACAAAAAAGAGGGCATAGATTATTTTGTCCCTAAATATGCATCCACAGAGCAATGTGGGGTTTCAGCACCAAGGACAGAGGCAATGAAAAACTAGATTCGGCTCTGCTCAAGACACAAAGGGGCTCAATCAGAGCAGAGCAAACATGAAACTGGAAAATTGCACTTATGACACCCTCACCCACGCATTCATCCCTTCTAGACCAGACTACTGCAACACTCTCATCGACGGTTCATCATCAAAAACATTCAAGAAACTACAATATATCCAGAACTCTGCTGCTTTCTCTTTAGTCTTACACTCACGCACCCATGACCACATCACCCCAATCCTTCATAACCTCAACTGGCTCCTCGTCCCCCAGTGAGCCCCCATAGCCTGGCTCCCTCATAACTTTCCCTCATAAGCAGCAAATACTTACAACATGTGCAAAAGGTTAAGCAGTATTTGTCAAATGTTCCTACCTCAGGAGATTCATCACAGTCTCCAAAAACATCAGCAAAGTCTGTAGGACTTTTCCTCAGAGTCTGGTCAGCAGGCAGTGTGTTGTCATTGTAAGATGACACAAACTTAAAGTCACTGGTTCGAGACCCTGTTGTCAGGTAGGCGTCATAATTGTAAGCGCTGCGTAAAGTCCCTGTGCCGTCAACATCTGCGTAATTAGGAGGAAGATAAGCGCTGGGGATGGCGACTGCTCCGTCAAACAACAGTCTGGGCTTTCTCCTGCGACAAAACCTCACACCCATGATGATGATGATGAAGGTAAGAAAAAAGGTGGACACACACACCAGCGCGATGATCAGATAAGAGGTCAGTTTGGAGCTCTTCTCATCATAAGAAATGTCCTTCAGTTCTGGCACCTCAGCCAAGTTATCAGAAATCAGTAAATACATGGAACAGGTGGCAGACAGAGAGGGCTGTCCGTTATCTTTCACTGACACAATAAGGTTCTGTTTCATGCTGTCAGACTCAGAAATGTCCCGCTGGGTCCTGATCTCTCCGCTGTGGACACCAATAGTGAAAAGTCCCGGATCAGTGGATTTCACTATATGATAGGACAGCCAGGCGTTCTGTCCGGAGTCCGCGTCCACTGCTATCACTTTGGACACCAGAGAGCCTCCGTGTGCAGCTTTGGGGACCAGCTCGGTCATGAAGGAGTTGCCCTCCGGGGCGGGGTACAGTATCTGAGGAGAGTTGTCATTCACATCCGATATGAACACACTCACGGTCACGTTGCTGCTGAGAGGAGGAGAACCGTTGTCTCTGGCCATCACGTGCACTTTAAAGTTCCTGAACTGTTCATAATCAAACGACCTCACAGCGTGGATCACCCCCGTGTCTCCGTTCACTGACACATAGGAGGACACCGGGGCACCGTTCACCTCACCGGATAACAGAGAATAAACCACTGTACCGTTCTGTCTCCAGTCGGGGTCTCGAGCACTAACGGAACATAAAGTGGAGCCAGGTTTGTTATTTTCACTCACATATGCGCTGTACGACTGTTCCTCAAACACAGGTGGGTTGTCGTTGATGTCTGCTACAGATAACTGAACAGTTTTAGAGGAGGACAGAGGTGGAGAGCCCTCGTCAGTGGCAGTGATTGTAATGTTGTAATCAGACACTAGTTCACGGTCCAGTTGTCCTGTGCTCACCACAGAATAATAGTTTTTAATAGAAGGAACCAACTTAAAAGGGACATTTTGCTGAATGGAGCAGCGGACCTGTCTGTTAGTCTCAGAGTCTCTATCCTGCACATTAATGATGCCCACCTCTGTACCAGGTGGGGTGTCCTCAGGTATGGGATTCATCAGTGATTTCAAACTGACTACAGGGGCGTTGTCATTCACATCAGTGATAGAAATGATCACCTTAGCGTAAGATGAAAGACCCAAACCATCTTTTGCTTTAACGCGTATTTCAAAGGATGAAGTAGTTTCATAGTCAACAGCACCAATTACTTTTATTTCTCCCAACTTACGATCAATACTAAAAATCTTCTTCACATCTTCAGTAACATGTCCAATGTCATAAGTCACCTCTCCATTAACTCCCTCGTCTGCATCAGCAGCACTCACTGTGACCACCACAGTATCTAAAGGAGAGTTTTCAGGCAGACTGGCTTTATAGACGGCCTGACTGAACACTGGGGCGTTATCATTAGCATCCAGGACAGTGACGTGTATGACTACAGTACCTGATCTCTGAGGAGAGCCTCCATCTAAAGCTGTGAGGAGCAAATTGATCTCTTTTTGCTTCTCTCGATCTAGCTCTTTATCAAGAACAAGCTCGATTGTGTTTCCATTAGCAGCCAAAATGAAATTGTCATTCTTTTTTAGGCTGTACTGCTGAACTGAGTTTTGTCCTACATCCGCATCATGCGCCTCCTCTACCACAAAACGAGCTCCTCTGACAGCAGACTCGTGAATTTCAATTTTAATCGCTTCTTCATCAAACTGTGGGGAGTTATCATTTATATCTTGAATGTGTAGAGTTATCCGATGGAGCTCGAGAGGATTCTCCAGCACAAGCTCCTGTTTTAAGATACACGAAGCCTTTTCGCCACAGAGCCCCTCTCGGTCAATCCTGTCCGCAACAACCAGCTCTCCGTTATTCAGGTTTATGTCACAATAACGTTTATCCGTCCCATCCGTGTCAATGCGGGCTCTCCTGTTAGACAGAGCACCCGTCTGCAGCCCGAGATCCTTGGCTATATTTCCAATAACCGATCCTCGTTTCATCTCCTCTGGAAAAGAATAGCTCATGTCTCCATATGCGCAACACAAAAGAAGGAAGAAATAGAAGCTGCACGTTTGAAAAACGATTATATTAGACTCCATCATCTTCGAGAAAACAACAAAGCGAATAAAATGTAACCATAAAAAACAAAGGGTGACTGCGATTCCAGGGTGATTTTCCCTTTCTGAACACAAGAACACAAGACTGTGCGTCCACACCGAAGGCTAGAGGAACTCAAAAATCGTAAGCCTGGTGAATAGCGCCACCGTGAGATAAAGTAAAACATTTTGAAAAATGACAATAAAAGAAACAACTTTGAAATGTTTTGGTTGATTAAAACGACTGTTCAAGAAGCAAAACACCAACATTAGTAGTTGAGTAATATTTGAAACTGCAGTTATGTTTGAGATTCAACTGAGGAAACAATGAGCAAACAGCAACAAGTCGTACAACATGCATTAACTGTGGAATTTCTATTGTATTTCCTCCTTTGCATTTATTATAAACGATGAATGTTTCAGATCTTATGTTTAATTTCCTGTATGTATTTATAAAGATATGTTCAAACTTGCCATTCTTATTCTATTGTTGTTGTTGTCTACCAACAACCAAATATATATTTAATTCACTGAGTTTTGAAAACATGTTCTCACCCTCAAAAGTTGATGTGATTAAAGTTGTTGCACTGGTGTCTTTAGATGAATAATCAAAGAGGAGTAGTTGATAATACTTAAAGTGGAAGCAAATTAATTTAGTTTCATTAATATTGCACTACAATTTTACAGTTAACATTTTAAATATTTACAAGTTTAAATATTCTTCCTGCATCATCCCCAAAATGATAACACCAACTGTAACACACTGAAATCTAACTTACACCTTCTGATTGGTTTAGTCAGTCACATAACTGTGAAACTAAAGTGCCAAAGTAGATGCAACCCTGGTGAAAGCAGATGTAAAACTGTTGCCATTTTATTCAAGCGTCAAGCCAAATTGAGTTTAAGGAGGACTGACTGATCCTCTGCACTCTTCTTAAAAGATAAACTTCACTTCCAACATCACAGATTAGAGACAGGTGATCAATCTATCAATAAATATAAACACAACACCTGATGTATAGATTCAACAGATGATTCAGGATAAGATAATAACCGAGCAACAGAGCCAAGACACAAGACCAATCGCTTTCAATAAAGTCAATCCACAGAAAATCTGAACAGCTATTACAACATTTACTCTACTAGAAACACCACTAAAGAATTGTGACTCATTCTGACAGCATAACTAGAAAACCTTCATGAAAGTCAGGCTGTAATTGGTTGAGCAAGGTTTCTAATATTCTGTCAAGTTACTACTTAAGAAAAACATTTTATTGGTCCAGAAAACAGAATGGACAACATGAACATCCACCATCATGTTTTCATAACATAAAGTTCATTTGTTCAAAGCACATCATTAAGCACGCAAAATCACTCCACTAATGTACAAAAAAATACTTCATACTGGAAACTGACAGACAGAGATTTCAATTAAAAACACTATTCGTCAAATTTAAATTCATATTATCTGTATGTCAAAAAGACAATTTAACCAAAGTAAAAGTAAAATATAAAAAGAGTCTGCACAAACCCCTGTCAGAGGAGCAAACAGCATGTAAAGACTACATATTAAAGGTGATGCTATCCATACAAAGGAGCAGCAGAAGAGTAGCATGTCTATCAGATGGTTTTATGTGCATTCCTGTTGCAAACCCCTTAGTCAAAAGCAATGTGCAAAGAGACATAGTCTGAGTCACAAAAGATGAGGGAGAACAGCCGTGAAGACGTCAACAAAATCACTGAATGATTAGTTAAACTCGTCACACAAGTGAAGTTATATAAAGTAAGACATAAGAATTTCTGAGGGTTTGTAAAAGGGTTGTTTAAGAGAAGAGAGATAGAAAGGAGTGTGTCTGCCAGTAATTCATGTAATATTGGCACTCAAAAAAAAAAAAAGATCATTCATGAACAATGACGTTGTTTCTTTTCCAACAATCCTCATCTGTGGAAGACGATTTCTAACAGTAAAATAATTTTAGAAAATAAATTAAACTCCATCACATTGTAGCCTCTATGCTCCAGACCAATTGTTGCATTAAGGATAATTACATATTTTTAAATGTATATAGTATATTTCTATGAAATCAATTTTATGTTATGATGTAGTTGTTATCAGGTAATTTATAAGTAAATGAGAGAAGTTATTCTAGTAAAGTTCATGAAATTCCGAATGAGAATGGATTTCATAATGTCACAACTTCCCATGAACATTGAACTCGGTTTTTTTCTGACCAAATAAATACAACAAAACATCTATAAATGAACTATCAGCAAGGCAAAGTAATGAAATGTGCAGATGAGAGCAAATACGTGTTAGTAGATACAAAAAACATGTCTACAAACAGAACATTAAAAGTTTTTGAACATGCTCAGTCACTGTGCTGACTGCTAGACTTTATAGACTGTGGTGTCAGCAGTGGTGTCATAATGTAACAAAGTAGTGGTACATCTTTACAATACTTAAGTATTTTCTGGGTGTATTTGTATTTTACTGGAGTTTTTTTATTGTTTTGCCCTTTCTACTTTTACTCCACTATATTTACTGGATAATGTATACTTTTACTCCGATACATTTTACCTGAGAACCTTTGTTACTACTTGTTACTCATCACCTTGAGGTGCTATTATTATGTGATCAAACAGCTTTCAAGCAATCCTGAAGCAGACAGATAGGCAAACAGACGGACAGAAAGACATACAGACAGAAAGCTGCAGATGAAGAGAGAGGAGAGAGAAAAACTAGCAGGCAATGGAGAAAGAGAGAGGAAAAAAGTGGCAGATGAGAGATAAACAGTGAAGGCACACACTGCATTAACTGTATCTGAAAATGTATGTGATTGTCATAATATTGTAGTAAACTAATGGTAACAAAGATACATTTGGATTACTCTAACTGGAATCATTGAATATTTAATGATGTGCATCAGTGAAAAATATCCCTCAAGATACTGGGGTGACTCTGAGTTCTGTAGTTACTCTTCTAATACATAATGAGCGACTGGAGGCTATGTGTGAGTGTGTATTCATAATTAATATTTGGGTCTGTCATAGTTCTGTGGATTCATTTCTTAACTGAAATGAGATGACCCAAAACAGGTTTATTATTATTATTATGATTGCTTTAAGAAAAAAGGGGAAAGGCCTCATATTGCTCTTCATTTGGCATCTAAATTACTAAAACCAACTTTGACAAAATAGACATGATAACAAGTTTAAAAACTTGATTTTCACCAAAGTAGTCTTTACAATATAAAAAAGTCCTTCTTCTTTAAAGTTAATTTACAGTTAAAATACTGATCATCACCCTGAGATCCTAACCACTTTCTCTTTTATCAAGATCATTGACTTGTATTTTTGCTTTGAGTAGAATTAATATCCAAACAGTACTTCTGATTATTTTCTGAGACTTTTACTGAAGTAAAATTAGAAAGGTTGACTGTCACTTTTACTTGAGTCGTTTTCTGTTAAGGTATCTGTGCTTTTACTCAAGTATGGCTTTCATGTATTTCCTCCACCACTAGGTGTCAGGAAATTAATTCATAAGTAAAAATATTTAACATGAAATCCAGTAACATTGAATGCATCAAATAAACAAATAAATGCGATGTCACCTTTGGGAAAATTCAACCATGGTTGAAATCACACAAACAACCTTTTGCTATAACAGACAGAAAGCTCAGAGAGGACTGAAAAATGGAAAGGTCATAGAAAAGGCTAATAATTCAAGACAACATATTACCAAGGCAGAAGAAAAAAACAACACTCAAAAAGAATCTGGTCAATATGTGAAAAAAGTGGAGTAAACAGGAGTCTAACCAGACATGTTTTTGTAAAACATGCTAATAAATTGATGTCATTTGGAGTTACATCCTGAAAGGCCCAGTGTTCCAAGGAGGGAACAAATGAAGAAAAAAATGAAATGTCTTGAAGCAGCTTTGAGCTTCATTAACTTAATCAAATGGTGGACTTAAGCATGTACAGCGCTTTTCTAGTCTTTTGACTACACAAAGCGCCAAGGACATAGACAAAAAAAACCCACATTCAGATTGACTCAAGACAAAAAGGGCACAATCAGTGCAGAGTTAAAAGATATCAAACTGCATAAATGCACTTATGATAGAAATTTAGAAAAATACCAAACATAGAAAGTATAAGTCTTGTAGTTTGAGGTAAAGAGAACCAGGAAAGAAAAACAGAGCAGCAATGACAATGTAGAAGAACAGTACAAAACTGCATCAACGCTAAATGCCCAAGTTAGGTCTCCATTGAAAAACCAATTCAAAAGAGCAGAGTAAAAGACTACAAATTCCCTCAGCTTTCAAAGAAGATTCAAAGTCAGACTTGAATATTAGACACATTTGCAGCACAGAAAAATTATTTATGTATCTTTAACACAAATCCTAAACCACAAAGCAGAGGAAAACTACTGGAATCAGATTTCCACCTAACACAACAAAAACATGAACTAACCTCAAACCAGAAGGACAAGAAACACCAACCGAATGGAGCTTATGGGAACGTTAAATTTCAATTTAATAAATCAAGGACACACAAGGCTCTTGACAAAAGTAACCAAAAAGCAAACCTGTTATACTTCTAAACATTTGAAACTGAAATGATTACTGATGCAAGAGGTCAAACAATATTTTGTTGTTCCTACCTCAGGAGAATCATCACAATCTCCAAAAACATCAGCAAAGTCTGAAGGACTTTTCCTCAGAGTCTGGTCAGCTGGCAGTGTGTTATCATTGTAAGATGACACAAACTTAAAGTCACTGGTTCGAGACCCTGTCGTCAGGTAGGCGTCATAATTGTAAGCGCTGCGTAAAGTCCCTGTGCCGTCAACATCTGCGTAATTAGGAGGAAGATAAGCGCTGGGGATGGCGACTGCTCCGTCAAACAACAGTCTGGGCTTTCTCCTACGACAAAACCTCACACCCATGATGATGATGATGAAGGTCAGAAAAAAGGTGGACACACACACCAGCGCGATGATCAGATAAGAGGTCAGTTTGGAGTTCTTCTCATCATAAGAAATGTCCTTCAGTTCTGGC